TAAAATGTTGGCGATCTCTGTTTTTGTGATTGATGTTGATATGTAAGCCTAAACTTGAAGATTATACTTAGTGAATATTAGGTAATTCAGGTTTAGCACTCCTTGATCATTCTGTAACGAAACACTAAAATGACCGACCTATCGATGACTTTAATTTTAATAATGAACCTATTAAAGTTAGTTAACTTAACAGCAACCATTTGTATTAAAAACTTGATTAATTAACATTATTTATTACGCAGATGAACCTAAATTATTATTTTTCTGGCTGGAACAGCGTCAGCCTAGCCCGAAGCTGAATTCTGAATTATTAGGTATATGATAAAACGGCATATTTTTTTTTCTACCGCCTTGGTATGTAGATAGTAGTAGGTAATAGGGCACCAAGTTATACAATCCCATTGTTTAGTTAGTATTTTATATTAATTATAGATTTTCATAAATTTTCATCTTCAAGTCTATGGATACCTATGCTATTCGAATATTTTGTTTCCTATGGCTTCCTGTTAGAATAGAATAATTTATGGGGGAAAGTAAAACTTATATATCAATCGCACATTTTCCGAGTTTGTCGTGTGCTTGAGGTCGAGGAGCGAAGCACCTTACTCAATAAATTGAGAGGCTGCCGCGGCCGCCTCCGCTCGGCCATTAAGGCTCGCGATAGTGGATACTCTTCGGGGTTCACTTTGTTTTATTACTTTCATTTTATTGTTTTAATTTGTGTGCGGGTGCGCTATTTGCGTGCGCGCAGTTTGTCGCGCGCCCCGCCCACCGCGCGGTGGCCAATCGCGCGCGGCTCGCTAACGAGGTGCTGTCGCGCCCGCACCCGCGCCGCTCGCCACGCGCCCGCTGCGCCCGCGCCGCTCCGCTGTACCGCCACGCCGCACGCCGCACACGCACAGACATCGCGACAATGCTCATTGTTTCAAACTATTCTTATTTTGTTTTAGTTAGGTCCACCTCGCCGGCCGGCATCGCCTCCCACCGAGCGATAATTTCAATGTCGTCGCGTATATTGTGATATTGACTGAGATTCCACTCTGGCCATGTTTTATCGTCGGAGGCGCGTTTCGTCAGAGCTACTCAATAAGCAATAAACCATTCGCCTCCGAGGAGTTATTTTAAACCCTGACTGGGACTCGAATTGAGCCCACGCCTTTACACCTTTTAAAGGTTATTGTGTTTCCGAAACGCTAAAGATATAAACATTCAACAGCCTCACAAACATTCACATCTTCAAGTAAACAAAATACAAATAGACATTTTGAAATACAATAACCAATATGTAAAATAACGTTACCTACGTACACACATTTTACATAATTTCAGTGTCATTTAAATTCGAAGGTTATTGTTTCTAATAGATCGTTAATATTGTCAACAGTCCGTGTGATATTCAAAGCAGAATCAAACACGACACAGTAGGAATAATATTAGGGGGAAACTAAGCGATTGATAGTAAAAATGGGCGTCGAAATAGAAAAATATCGTTGGACGCATTCGTGGCCTGGTAAAATATTCAATCGGGGCAATTCGGGTCCGCGTATAAATTCGGTACCGCCATTATTTGTAGCGCGTCCTCGCGACCGAAAATCGGTACCTACATTGATAGTCGTCATTTTTCTTGTAGGTATCGTTAATATTTTACGGGTGCGTGTCAACGGTTTATGGGCCCACTCTTAACACTAAAACGTTTTAGCCGTGCTCTCATTGTTTATACATTTTACTATCCACTTTTTATAGTTTATTGCAGCTTGAGTGCTGTTCGGGGTTATGACACCGCGCGTAACGTTCGACTGACGTTCGATTGTATGCTATAGAACTTGATTTTTATTGCGGCCTGATGTCAAGCGGAAACTTTTGGAATTATCATGTGTATATTTGGCTGGGCTGCCAGGCAGTATCCATGACCGTTCTAGTGGCGTGCCGCGACCAATCTACCTGTAACCGCCCAATAAACCACAACAGTCAACGACAGGATCATTTAATGACAATCAAACTCCACTCACATTACTATTTCGTACGAGTCTCGCAGTCTACCCGGCTTTTACTTCCATCATACAAAAATCCTAAAGCTACAAAGGTTTTACTGTTTTCCAAGTTAATTTCTATCGCATTACATAATATGATTCGTTTCACATAAAACGGTGCTATCGTAAAACACATAACAAGGACGGGTTCTTATCTAAGTGTAATTATCCGTCCAAGTTTGCGAGCTGAGAGAAAGAATTGCTGGAAAGTGTGTGCATGTGTGTGTGGGGGGGAGAGTCGGCGGGTGAGGGTAGGCTCACATGGGACGCGCTCTAATGAGGTGCCTGAAAGCGACAATGTCTTTGAGTAAAGCAAATGTGTAGGTATCTACATAGGGGGAGCTGCCTCCATCTACGTTCTATTTTAATGTGTATCTAGTGTACGTTTACGATGGATACATAAAACGTTAGGTAGGTATGTTGTTTCAAATAAGTTTTAGGATAAAAGATGTTGGCAAATTAATTTGCGATACAACAGTGTACACACAACAATTTCAACATCTTTAAGAAAACATTCGTAATGAAGCAGAGCGAGTTGTAAGTAATAATACTAAAAATTAAGTACTTACCTATTACCTAGTTACAAAAACAAAACGCTGAAGTTATGTATCTGGTTTATCGAACCTGAAGTGAAAATACTTATAGTTTTCCAGACCTCACTCGTTGGAAGTGTAGGGTAGGTATAAGTAGTACAGAGTATCATGTTCTCGTGTACCGCGTTGTAAATCAAGCGAGTAGAGCGACACGAGGTGTGTGTGCGGTGTGAGCGGCGGCCGGCCGTGAGCCGTACCGTACGACAGCGCGAGGGTCGATTGCTCCTTCCGGTCCGCAGCCGGTTTTAATTTCCCGCGCGAGGCGGTGGCGCGTTAAGTTTAAACGGCCGGAGATGAGCCGCACACGTACTAATATCATGCACGGCCCGGGCCGTCGCCATAGCGACGCACACTCTTATGACGTGTGTGGCGCTGGCGCGGCGCGGGTGTGAGGCCGGGGGTAATATGATTTGAGCGCCCCCGGCGGGGTGTCGCGCCCGCTTGTTTGCTCTCCGATGCAATCGCGATACGAGCGCCACCCGCGCCCCTGCCCCGCCGGCGACACATCTCTCACCTCCGTCGTCGATAACCGCATCGGATTCCTTGTTGCAAGCCACCGCATTCTATTGAAATAGATATCTACCCGCGCGCCCGCCTATCCACCTACCTACTGCTCTACTCGATTTACACGTCACCCTGCGCCGCACTATTTTCACACAAGTCGACAGATCGCGCTCTTCCGTGTGGTTTCTGTTACCTATTACTTCAACACCTCCAATGCTACCCACCTACACTAGACATGATATGTCGCACTCTGTAGTCATCTTGAAAGTTTTTATTCCATACACGAAGGGTGAAGTGTCACCTCGACAACGGTCCTTATGCTCGTTATAATCCTAATAAATCAATCACTTGATTCCGCCGACAACACAGTAACAACCGCCATCATATTCCCGAGATCTTTTTGCGTGTTGACTCAATCGTGTGTTGTCACATCGAGTGTGGAATCTGGCGAGTTTACGCGGCAGCCGGTGACAATTACGCGGTGCCGGTGCTCATTAGTTGCGGACGCGCGGCCGCTTCATGTATCATGTATTGCGCGTCGCTCACAGCGCCAGCCACCGACCAGACAATAAAGCAATCAATCGGCACCGCGCGCCTCCGCAAACGAGCTGCCAGCGACCGACGACGACGCTCCGCCGTGTCCGACGCAATACATATGTATCAAACTATACCTGTCGTGTAACGCGACTTAACTACATGTTCTCTACTTGTTTGCTATCCGAAGATGCAGACGACCATCTCGGAAAGGTACTCCAGTTTCAGACTTAGGCAACACTACCTCTAAGGCTTTCCTAATAGGGCATTGTGACTGAACGGTGTGCGCTGTTCGGGCGGCTGTAATTGCGGCGCGCACGCCGGAGGCCGCGGATAATGCCGTACGTGATATATGGTACTACGGCTAATAACAGACCTCGAGCCCAGCGCCGATTATCCCTTTACCCGGCGCAGACGAATTCGTATCGATCGGAGCGTCGCTCGGTCTCAGCTAATGAGAGCGGGATTTACTACTCATTATCCACTTGTGTTGGTGCCCGGGGCGCGATGAAGACGTCGCGGGGTCGCGGAGCCGCAGGCGCACAATTTGCCGGCGAGCGGGCAGCGCCGCGCCGCCACACCGACACACGGTCGCGTTGTAGCCCGCAGCGAGCTTTGTACTTGATCCCGGTAATTGCGGTCCGGCACACCGGCACCGTGCACCACCGATACACCTTCCAACCACCACCACCACACGATCCACGCCAGTACCTACTCGATAATTGCGCTATTGTTGCCTAGCTCGACGACTAGCGCACAAATCGCTTTCAAGGAAGCTATCCACGTTTAAATTAGAAGGTTCAAACATCGGACGAACTTTGTTATTTGGACAATTAAGTTAGATAAGAAAATTAATAGTTCCATTGAATCGTGGCTGTAATACCATCGCATGTTCACTCCAGGCGGTGGAACGTTACACACCCTGTTCTTTGAAGCAATTTTCTCGTACCCTGTATTCATCATGATCAATCTATTTAACTGAACATAATATGTCCTACGTGAATGTGAAAAACAGGAATACTTACAGAAGTGATGCTCACTCATTCGGAACGGACGGATTTGAAAAACTTAAGCAAGACACCACAAAACTTAATGAACTTAAAATGGTGTTCATGTCCCAAAAAAAAAAAACATTCATACGTAGTACGTACCATATGGATATACATTGCATTTTTTTATTGTTTGTTAGTGTCTCATGATCTGATCTCAAATGACACAGCGAACTATCGACTCCGACCTCGCAGTTCAAAACGTTAAACTCAAGAAAGCCTGTTGATATATCAGAATATCCACAAAATTAGTACTTACCTCTTTTTTATTATATATTTTGTTGTTACAGATGGTTGGGTCGTGGTTCTATGTTCGTACTCTCCGAGGCGCAGGCGCGTGCGCTGCTCCGCACTACAGGACACGGCATCGGCGCGGGCGCATTAGTCGATGTCGGCGCGGGAGACGGTGAGGTCAGCCGTCGTTTCGCACACATCTACCCGCACAACTACGCCACTGAAATATCGGCCAGCATGAGGAAAACATTAGCCGAGAAGGGATACAAGTAAGTTGTTGAACAGAAACTTTGATAAAGTTTTTAAAGTCGTCAATTTGTCACCAGTGTATGTGCAGCTGGCATATAGTCCAAGCATAGGTGACAATTTGAAACGCCATGATGATATTACAAAGAATTTGTAAGTCTAAAAAACCCAGTCGCGGAGAACCTAACGGGTAACCGGGGCTCCTGCTCGACATGCAGAAGGAACGGGGTGGTTTTTAGTCAGTAAGAGTCTGACACTCCCTCCCGCCACACCCAGGCGGGAGAAAATTTTTTGATCGGCGACGGCGACCTCTCGCGTCCGGCTCTGGTTCAGACCATGGTACGGAGCGAGGGGGACTGGGATGCCGTCTCCTCCTTCTGCGAAGCAGTCATGCTAGCTAAAGAGGAGGCGGAGCGCGTGAGGGAACGAACCTCCTCACGACCCGGCCGTCGCGAGAGACACTCCGGGCGTCGGGGATCGCGAGACGATCTCCGGCCACCGTAAGCACGGGCCTGCGGACGGCGAGCATGGGCGACTCGCCGCAAAAAAAAAGGCGGGAGAAAAATTTTGCCCCCTTAAAAAAAGTCTAAAAAAACCCAATATTGCATTGTTCAAACTAAAACAAGCTGGAGGTTTCATAACCTCGACCTAAACAGTCCCACTCCCATAGTTACCGTAACCGTTATTTATTGAAGCACTCCATATCAAATGAAGCACACTTCAGCTTTAGCAAATTCTATCATTTAATTCTGTAGACCTAATAAAGCGCATAACCTTTCATTTCTAACCGATTTTATGAAAAGTATTGCAACCTAAACATTTTATTGAATTCCAGACTCCTGGACACAGAGAAATGGCACCACTACCGCCAATTCGATTGTATTTGCATGCTAAACCTCTTGGACCGCTGCAGCAAGCCAAAGACCATGCTGAAGCAAGCTAGAGATGCGCTGGCTCCCGGTGGAGTACTCATGTTGGCACTGGTCTTGCCGTACAAACCTTACGTGGAAGGTAAGGCCATTATTACTTCTACACTTTGGTTGCCGAATTTGTCTGCTGTGTCACGTTCTAGCCACAGAATGAAAAATCATAATCAGCATCAGTCAGAAAACGTCAACCCGGATCAATAGATCTAATTTAAGTTATCGATAAACAAACCGATATGTATGTGGGGGTTCTATGTAGATGTCGAGGTGGATAAATGATGCGCTTCATTTTTATTTGGAGATATATAATTCTGGTACCAGTTACATGATATATACTTAAAAATGACGACCTACTAGTTCGGTTGCGGGGAGACGACTGCCGTGCGACGCCAGCGCACGTACGCACTTGGGAACACAAAAGTACAGCGTCAACAGTGTGTCCCTACATGTATCTGGAAACAAAATAAGCACCTTACCATATCCTGATTAAATTGCTTTGAAACTCCCAATGATTTTACAAAAAATATCTGCAATTCTATTTTCTAATTCTAGTGACTTCGGATCATAAACCAGAAGAACGTCTGCCGATTGAAGGAGCTTACTTCGAAGACCAGCTGGCTGCTTTCGTGAAGTTCATGCGCGAAGAGGCTGGCTTCGAACTGGTCTCGTGGACACGAGCCCCTTATCTCTGCGAAGGGGACTTTGCACAAGCTTACTATTGGCTCGACGACTCCGTGTACGTCTTCAAACCTACCGCAGTAGACCCCACTACTTAAACAACAAACGTCTTATAACAACGAATATTATACTCAAGTATCTTAAACCTCGTAACCTATAAGTAACGTTTTTCATTAATAAAGGAAAGTTTTTGAAACAACCTTTTGAATGTTAGTGCGGAACGCGATAGTGCAGTATACGTTTCTGAAATTAGAAACATAATGTACTACTTACTATACATTTTATAAGAATTTGTATTTGAACAGACTTTTGGAAACTTAACCATGGTATTAGAATTTTTGTAATTACATTAAATGTTAAATAATCAGTATCGTATACTGTATGCGTTTGCACATACGGGTTTATTGTAATAATTGTTAGATTAAGAAGTTTCAATTTCGTCCTACTTTGGGCTGAGATGATTTTCTTGTAAACCAACAACGCTTTCGCAAAAAATAAATCAGAAGGTACTACATCACTTGGTCAATACAGATAGTCCAACCGATATCACGTCAGGACGTAATTACTTATTAAATAAAGCTCTTTGCCTCGTGTAATCTCATATCAGGATTACGAATACCAAAGCATCATTGCTTTTTCGCATACCGCGATGGCTGGCCAAAGAATTTGAAAATGTTAGTGGACCTATAGGTCTGAAGATGCGAACGTACAGGTTTATGGGGAGGGAGCTCCCTTAGTTGTTACTGGAGGGTGCATAAGATTACTTACATAATTACATTCCTAGTGTAGTTCGTATTCTATTGACACATGAAATCATTTCATCCGTACGTATGTACAACACTCGTCAAATAAGTACTTAGTTCTTAGTTGAAGGCATTTACGTTTCATGATGTCAATGTATTGTTATGTTGAATGTTTTGTTTTTGGTTGTTCGTTTGCAATATAATGTTCCTACATATCAAATTAATTTGAATTGCGATTCTTTATATTTTAAGCCTGTATAGTAAAAAATAGTTTAACTTTTTAAACGTCGAGTAAACACATATTAAATGTAAAATACCGTGGGGAAACAGTGCACTCATGCACGCGGTCTTCTTATGAACCACTGTGTTCTGTAGATGTTAAAAAGTTCTCCGTTTCCAACAAAGCGAAAGGTAGTGAATCCATCGAATAATCTGTACAAAAACTAAAGTAGGTTGTAAGATTATATTTTGCTGTTTACGCACATTTAGGTCTCCACCGAAGCGAAGAGGAGATGAACAGAGCAGAGATATTTTTTAACAACAAATAGAATTTCATTATTTACTTATCACTCACTTTCTGTGGATACCAACTGAACTGAGATGAAGATATCACATCATTGAGGTGGAATGAATACCAAGATTTGATTGAAATGCTTAATATTGATATTATGTATGTACTTAAAAAATATCTGTTCTGGATTCCGTTTCGGACATCTCCACAGATCTCCGTTTTGGTGGAGGCCGAGCATTGGTAGTTTTACAACGTCATTAGAAAATCAATATTCTACATAGATATATTGCGATGTTATTGACCATATTATGATGATAAGAAATAGATGTTTTGTACGTTTTTCTACGGTGTATTTATCATAGTTATAAATGCTTAATCCATCAAGTAATACTCATTATAGTATAATTATGTATTTTCAGAGATATTCTTATTAAATTCCCCAGTATGGGCGTACTTTTAAATCATGGTGAAGGCCTATTCATTATTCTGGTGTAGGCATCGTCTGCTGAATTATCGTTATGGAAAAGTATCATGAACGGAATCTTTGTCTAGCAATATTTTCAGATGTAGCCTAAGCCTGAATATAACAAAATTTTCAAGCTAACACTATGACGAGCGTAACGCAAATACTCATGAGAAGTGTGCTTTGAGAATTTGGGGAAATACTAATTGATATTTTCGATATTTATGAAATATTATATTAATATTGTACTTATCGTGTACTTAACCCTTTAACCGCCGACAACGTAATATTACGGTTTTCGAAAGCTGTGTCCGAATCGCCACATACGTACAATCACGTTATTTTATTAAAAATCTTCTTATAGTGCACAAACTCCATATAAAATGTGTCAATTTCAAGATGTAGGGTATAATCTTTATTGTTATGGATATTTCTCAATGTTTTGAGTGATAAATACTGTGAAATTTGAGGTTTAATTAAATTGTGGTCACCGTCTCCATTATCTGTATCGCCAATCACGTAATTTTACGAGTACTAGGGATGGGGCGAATTCGAAAAATACTTAATAGGTTGTCTAAGAACAAACAAGGCACTATAGATATTACTGTCACTATTTGCAATGAAAGTGTATACTTTCATTAGAAAATAACCATAGTGTTACTTTGATGCAAGTATTTGTACTAATTAAAATGTATTTAAGTTTAAAATTATTTAATATTTATAACAATAATATAAAAATTTCATAACGCAGAACCGCACTAGTGCGGACAATCGCCGGTCGCCATCACCGTAATATTACGTGCGGCCAAGGAGATTAAAGCGCTGTATTGTGAGTTGCCTTAGCGCCGTCACCGTAAAATCACGTTAAACATTTATCACTCAATGCAACTAGTGTTGTAAACCCTTTTTTGGGTTTTTGTTATTTCTCAAATAAATCAACACAGTCAAAACCAAATGTGTCCATTATGCAAAGTTAGAAGATGGTGACGCAAAGTTTTTGATCAGAGACCAAGTGATCCACGAAATGAATACTTTGCATCTTTAAAACCTTTTGAGCTGGAAACCGTACTGTCGGAAATCCGCTCAGAAGTTTACATGAAAATATTAAATTAAATACGACATGCTCGTGGAGCATCGTCACCGTCGCCAGCAGGAGAACGGA